AAGTGTTGTTAGTAGACATGGATCATCAGTGTTGCTGAGTGTCAGAATCAGAACAACATCAGAGGTAGATACTTCATCACTTAAAATGGAAAAAAAAAGAATAAATCTGATCCAATACTGTAACTAATCTGGCCTGAAATTCCACACACTCACATTCTGTGATTGATGCTGTTAACTGCGTATTTCTTTTCTTCCTAGAGTTTTTGTGTTTCAGTAACTGTAGTAAGAAGAGTTCAGGTTTTATTAGAAATATTTACCCAGCATGCATTTGAACATTAGACTGCAGGGAAGTTTCCTATGAGTTCTACTTTAAAAGCAGCACAATATACAAAAATACTTAATTCACAGAAACAGACATGAGTGAAAACTGAGTGTAAATCATTTTATGCACATTGTGCTGCACTGCTAGTCTGACATTTAGAGCTCAGGTAAGTCATTGGGAACATTTTATGGTGACAGGGACATTTTGGGTTATAGACCCAGTTCAGAAGCCTGATCTGAGTAAAAACCCAGATTATTCAGGCAGAGTCGAGTATTTAAATCATGAACATAACACTTCTCCCTCAAACTGAGTGTTAAAGGATGAACATCGGTTCTGCTTCAGAATCCAAACCAATGTAGAATAAGAAAAATAGACAGGTAAACCTGCAGTTCAGCTCAGAGTTACAGGTGAGTTAAATCACATTTTTACTGACTAGTTTTAGAGGAATGTTCATTATTATCCTGAATGTTGCTGTTTAGTAATGTTGTTCATGTAGAAAAATCACAGTCAAATATGCATTTGCTTCTATAAAGCTTTAATGAATAATGGTGATTGTCTTCTAAAATCCAGCCAACAAAAATATTATATTAGAATTAAAACAATAAAATGTAAAAAATAATAAAATGTAAAACAATAAAATGTAAAAAAACAAACCTCTTTTTCCAAATATCTGGGCAAATATCTTGTCAAAACTAAAAAATCAAAATACCTACATTTGCAATTTCATTTTTCACATTAGCACAAGTAATCTGTGACAATAAATAAATAAATAAATAAATAAATAAATAAAACAAAGCAGCTTTTTTGTCTTTTCATTTTAGTCATTATTCCGGTATTTCATGGTCACATTAAAATTGGAAAAGCTAATAGAGAAAGAAAATCCAAGCTTCACTTTGGCTTTGCTTTTTCTTTGTAAATTAAAACTATGTGTAAAAAACTATAATCAAAATGCAAAGTTTACGTTCTTTCCTTTTTTTGTAGCAATAGGCTGAATATCTGACAAAATGAAAAAAGTCAATGTATACTAATTTTTAATCAACTTCAACAGTTTTCACTCAACATGAGTTAAATAAATAAATAAATAAATAAATAAATAGTACAGATTTGTTTCTTTTCTTCAGCTGTAAAAGGCAGAACAGAAACCTAAAAGATTGTGACTATGAGGTGAGCTTTAGCAGATCTCCAGGCATTCATAATACAAACTCTTATCTGGTAAAATATGGATGTAATTACAAAATATTTTCACTAGATGGCAATAAGACTAAAGCAGTAAGGATGATGTGTGTAGGCTGTAGCTGTGAGGAGTTGAGAGAGGTGGTTAAAGATACAAAGCTTCTGTTCTTAGTCAGTAAATCATGATGAAGTTATTTTCTCTACTTTAGCAAAAGTTCTTACAGTAAACTTATTTAATGATCCCTAAACTCCTTCAGTCTCTCTACACCTTCTCTCACCATCCTCTGTCCAGAACGCTGACCCTAATGCTAAGGACGACACGTACACAGCTCTTCAGCCCACAGCCAGGTCCTCTGATGATGTGTACCACACACTTGCAGTAAATGTCTCTTCACAAATCCTCCCTCTAGATCTGTAAAGAATTCCTAACTCAGAAAACTAAATGGAGTTCTTCATTTCTCCTCCTCTGCTTCATTCTCTCTTTCCCTCACACAGGCTGTTCAGTCCAGTTCTCCTGATGACCCGTACACAGCTCTGGACCCTCAGTCCAGTTCTCCTGAGTACCACACTCTAGCAGTGAGTTCTACACATTAAACTGTGATACTCAGTAACAGAGAAGGTGATCAACTCCATATACAGTGGATTCACTTTAGATCCCTTCATCATGATCCAGTGTGAGTGAACATGGTGGATTAGGACTAAGATTAAGGATGTTGTACTGAACTGTGTTTGTGGATGTTTGTTCTGAGGTTGTCTGTTTCTTTGTTGTTCATGTTTCTCTATGATATCTGTGAGCTCAGTGTTTCTGGAGCTCTGATTATTTGGAGATAAACACAAATGTCTGACTTTGTGTCACTTCTTTATGAAGGAGATATGATGATCTCTTTTATTTTAGCTTTTAAGTTCCTTCTCCTTTGCTTCTCTGTACTTTCATGTAACTCTATGTAGCGGCTCTTTATATTATATTATTTAATATAAAATTACATTTTAGTACTTTATTGCTTAAAATGCCAAACTGATACATTCTTAATTTTATTAAATATATGTTAAAATGTGAAAAGCTTTTCTTACTTTGTAAATATAATCATATCTGTGATTTAGTGCTGAGCGTCTTTTCTCTATGAAGAGTATGAAATGCTAAGAGCTGAAATCATTCTGATATAAATGTTGTGTATCAGCTCTTATACTCAGTATGTTAAGCTCAGTGTGAGGCTGTTAGTGATCTGCATTGTGTTCTCTCACCACATTCACATGCTGGGTGGAGCTCAGCTCTGCATCTCTATATGTATATGATTTGAACCCTTCTTACTATATGTAAAAGGTAACACTTTCTATGAATGTCACCTTTGGAAGCATCTATAAACACTTTCAAAACATGCATTCATAAGGCATTATAAACATGGCTATAAATATTTATAAAAATGCATTACATGTTATAGCCACGCTTATTATGCATTATGAATTGTTAACATAATACATTATAAGTACTGATCATTACAAATTATAAGAGCTCGTAAGTCGTATTTGTCCGCTCTAAGTAAAGTGAAGCGTACTGTACTAAAGCCTCCTCCAGTGTTAAGAGTGAGGCTTCAAGTAGAAGTATTTACTGAAGGATTTACTGAAACACTAAAACATACATAATAAAGCACATTACAGGCTTCAAATGTCAGAGTTTAAACTAGAGCTGCCATCAGTGTTTTACCCAATGTGGGAAAGTAAATGTACACCACCGTTAGCGTAGCACTAACTTAACACTGCACATCTAATAGAATGCTAACAAAAATTAGCATTGATGTACTTTAGTGTAGTAATGTTACTGAGTGAAGGGTTCTAGTGCTTGACGTTAGAACCAGTGAGGGAACAAATTACAATGATAGCACTCCACTATTTCACCTCTCTCTATCCAGGCCTTCACTCCACATTAACTTCACACTCAGTGTGATGTCAGGGGGTTCAGGGGAGAGGCTCATCGGTACTTGGTTTGCTGTGATGTAATGTAACATTTAAAATGAGATTCGCTGGGTAAGATGAGCACACTGTAGCAGTAATTCTATGCTGGTCAGCCTGTTTGGAGCATCTGAATATTCAGAAGCCCTGAAGATGCAGCACAAACAGCACCAGCACTGAGAAATGAAATACTGGAAATCTCAGGGTGTAAATAAACTTTGTATTATTCTTAACTTTACGCTCTCCAAGCTGGCACTGACTTCTTTGGCTCTGACAGTATAACATGTTATTAACACTATTTATAATGCATTATATTAACAATTCATAATGTATAATAAACATGGCTATAAAGTGCAATTCAGTGTAATTCATTTATAAATATTTATAATCATGTTTATAATGTCATGTTAATGCATTATAATATGTTATAAATATGTTTATAGATGCTTACAAACATGACAATCATAGAAAGTGTTACCAAAAAAAAAATCCATCTAAAATTAAAAAAAAAATACACAGCCTTATAAAATGGTTCTTTTTACTTGAGGCTCATTCTCTGCAGATATAACTGATTCATTGCTCTATCAGGATCCTCATTAACTAGTACATTTGTAGTCAACTACATAACAGCTTTTATATCTCTATGTTGTCTTAACTCTGATGAAAGTGTGTAAGTGCATGAGAACATTAACACAGTTTAAGTCTCTAATTTCACACAGCAGATAAAACGGCGCCCTCTTCCTGTTAACTCACAAACTGTAGAGAGACAGTCCAGAGACCAGTGATGACCTCAAACCCTACTGTCTCTTAAAGTGAGAGTACAGACACTAAACAGACTCCTGAATAGAGAAACTAGTAAAATGGAAATGGAGAAATATCAGACGTGAGAGAGAAGAGTGGCTGAAGTGTGACATACATATTTTGTGAATAACTGCTTTGTTTGGATATAAGGTTTTCTTTAGCTCTGTGGTGTATGTGTTACCTCTAGCTGTGTAACCTTTGGTTCACTTTCAAGCTAGCAGAGTAAATGAAGCTGCATCAGTCAGTTGTAACACATGGAGCAGTTTTATACATGTAAAGTTGACGTTTTAAACATCCAGCATCCAGAAGTATTTTATTGCTGTTGTATTGCTTCACTTCTCTCCTCTCTAACTCCAGCAGCTCCTCTACAACACTGAGCTGATTCTGAGAGAAACCACAAAGCCCAACAAACACTGACTCAGCAACAATCATGAGCAGAAAGATTCACCAAAATCTTAAACCAAATGTTTCCTAATCTTCATCCACTTTTCTTTAGAAGGTAAATGCTTTTAATACTGACACAAGAATGAAGTCTGTGTTTAGACAGTGTTCCACATCATTACATAGCTAATATCAATACACTTTAATAACGTCATTGTTAGACATGACATGAAAATACATTATAGTTTCACTAGGGAGATTATTCAGACTTTATAACAGAGCACATCTCCTGCTGCAGCTAAGACGGACACTTGCATCTTATAACAGGAAACATCACTTTCACCAACTTGGGTGTTTCTATTAAGCAACAGTTTACAGTTAAACATGTTAACCACATCTGGTATAACATCTCAGTTCAGTCTCTGTTCTCACCATTTATCATTTGGATGTTGGAGATGAGCCTCGTTACAGAACGGTAAGATGTTTTCTTTAGTTCAGACGATTTGTAATAGTTTATGAGAAAGAATATAGCTTAGAGTACATGCATATACATTTTATTATTGGTGCTTGTGTGTTGAAGTTGCTGAAAATTGTTTCTACCGCCATTGTTTCAGCAAAACTGAGACATATCAAAAACTTCAGTTTAACTTTACTTTTTTAATGTGGGGAGACGCCTGGAGAACATAGAGTACATGTGCACATGATACCTACCAAATAGCATACAACCCCAAATCAGAAAAAAAGTTTGTACAGTATGTTAATTAAAATTGAAACTGAAAACATACATACATACATCATCTAAACCGCTTATCCTTCTGGGTCGCGGTGGGGTGCTGGAGCCTATCCCAGCTGTCATTGGGCGGAAGGCAGGATACACCCTGGACAGGTCACCAGTCCATCACAGGGCAGACAGACAGACATACACAGTCACACACTCACTCACACCTAGGGGCAATTCAGCATGTCCAGTTGGCCTGACTGCATGTTTTTGGACTGTGGGAGGAAACCGGAGTACCCGGTGGAAACCCACGCAGACACGGGGAGAACAGGCAAACTCCACACAGAAATGACTCTGGTCGCCCGGCCGGGAATCGAACCCAGGCCATTCTTGCTGTGAGGCAACAGCACTACCCACTGCGCCACCGTGCCGCCCCGAAACTGAAAACAGTAATTTATAAATTATTGTAGTGACCAATTACTGGCTGGAACTGGTGCTGAGAGGCTCTGGAGTTGTGGCTGTGTAGACACCACATGTTAAGGCTTATGGTATCGCATGGCCGCTGACAAAGGGACTTATTGTGTTGTTTAGTGTTGCTTGTTGTTAGTTTTACGTTATGTGTATGTGTTGATTTGCCAATCTGTGCCTGGAAGTGGGGTTAATAAAATAGGTGTTGTGTGCAGGGTGGGGTTACCACCAGGGAGAAGTGTGTAGCTAGAGGTGACACCCCTCCTCCTTGTGGTTTCAATGTTCTGCACATGCTTTTTTTGCTGGTGTTTATAAAAGAGCACTTGTCGCAGCAGAGACATAGCAACTCCTGTGTCTTACTGTCTGCCGACAACACTTTATTCTTAACCTGTTTTACACTGAAAACAATCGAACACCACATTATTTGATGTTTTATCTCATAAGTTGTACTATTTTTTTTCCAAAATAAACACTTATTTCTGTTTTGATTCTTTCAACATATTTTAAAAGACAGTAAAGCAGTTACCACTTTGTAATGTTGCCATTCCTTTTCACAAAACTTAAAAGAAGTTTAGGGGCTTAAGACACCATGTGATGAAGCGTTTCAGGCATAATTTGGATAAGGTGTAATCCAGATGTAAGTTTTAAGGAGTGCAACAGTGCAGGATCTTCATTGTTACATTTTGCACACAGATTCTCTATTGGGGACAGATTGGAACTGCAGGCAGGCCTGTCCAGCAGCTGCACCCCTTTCTTTTGCAGCCATGCCTTTGCAATGTGTGCAGACTGTGGTTTTGCTTTATATTGTTGAAATATGCATGGGCATCCCCGGAAAAGATTTCATCCTTTCCCGGATTACTACTTTCTTTTTTTCTTTTTTTTTTTATTCGCATTTTTCATGATAAGTGGGTATTTGCATTTTCCATGGTGGGTGGGTCCACCACACTCAAAATGTATATGACAGCAGATATTTATTCTACATGCTGACATTTTGAGATAAATGATCATGTTCCATAATCTGGATATTTGGACTCAGTGTAGGAAATTATGCTTTAATAGTCTAATAGACTCATGCGTTACAAAACACAATCATTCAGGACTTCAGTTATTTTTGTTACATAGAATTTAATGTTTATTTAAGAGTGACAGTAGATGATGTTCTCTGAATTTGGGGATAATATTGTTTTTTAGTGGTTTTAAGGATTTCAAATTGGAATTGAAAAAGCAGATTGAATCTGCAAGATTTTGAAAAGTGAACATATATTTATTATTGTCAAGATAACAGATCCAAACTAAAAAATGATGCTTTTGTGTGTTTCTGAAATGTTATTTCTGAAACACAGAAATATCATTTCTGTCTACAACACTTTTTCATCACTGTTTCAACCATTTGTTCATTGTAAATATAGTAAAATAAAGTGTATATGGTTTGTGTTGAAAGACTTTCTGATCATAATCCAAATCAAAAAGGCTTTCAACACAAACCATATACACTTTATTTTACTATATTTACAATGAACAAATGGTTAAAACAAAGTTACTGATGAAAAAAGTCACGAGGTATTATATATACCATATTACATTGTATATTAGGAGCGATTCATGCAGAGATCCAGGTAGTTCAAGGAGTTCAGAAATTTAGTCATGGGTAACATTTTATTTGGATGGTCCACTGTAGATTCTTTGTAAATGTTGAGTATATATTTAAGTAACATTCAACTGAATTGTCATTAATGCCACTGAACTTGAAATTGAATGTAACTTAGATGGTTCACTATAGATGCTTTGTAAATGCTCAGTCTGCCTTTCAATAACATTCAACTAAATACCCATTAAATTCAACTGAACTTCAGTGTGTTCAGTTCAGTGTGAAAGAGTTTATTAAATCTGTTTTTAGAATGTTTAATCTCAAGAATGAGGATGTTAATTAAAATGCAGACATAATTGTTGTATCAGCATTAAAACATTTACTTTGTTAAAGAAGTCAGATGAAGATCTGGGAACATTTTATTTAATAATATCATTAATAAACTCCCACAGGCTGCTGGGATGAGGTCATTGAGAATGGCTCCTCCTCTTCCTCTGATCTTTCTGCTCATGATTGTTGGTGAGTCAGTGTTTGTTGGGCTTTGTGGTTTCTCTCAGAATCAGCTCAGTGTTGTAGAGTAGCTGCTGGAGTTAGAGAGGAGAGAAGTGAAGCTGTAAGCTACAGTAAATCTGACTGTCTTATGGGCTCCAGACTCTGTAATCAGCTTTTTCATGCATCATATGTTTCAGGAGCTTTTGGAACAGAGTGGAGTGTGAAGTACAACCAACAGGAAATATGTGCTTTAAAAGGATCCACAGTGTTTATGAATGGAACTTATACTCACCCAAAAAATCTTACAGTGACAAAGACTTTCTGGGGCATAGATCCAGTTCAGGGTGTGCAGCTGACTGATCTGAGTAAAAACCCAGATTATTCAGGCAGAGTCGAGTATTTAACTGGTGAACCGAAACACTTCTCCCTCAAACTGAGTGATGTAATGAAGAAGGATGAACATCAGTTCTGCTTCAGAATCATAACAAATATAGATAAAGAAAGATGGGCAGCTACACCTGGAGTTTATCTCAGAGTTACAGGTGAGTTAATCATCCCATTGTCCAGCTATAAGACACAGCTCTGGTTTCAGAGTAATGTTTCTTATTCATGTTGTTTTTTCATCACTGATTTTATTAATCTGCTCTAATGATGTTCAGCTTCTGTTCTGATTCACTCCTACATCATTTTATCTGTTCTTGCACCTGATTCACCTTCTCCATGTCAAACCATGGAAAACATGAATCCTTTAAAATTCAATGCTTATTGTTTGTAATCATTGTTATAGACTTCAGCAATTATTCCTCAACTATTATAACATGTTGTTGTTGTTGTTGTTGTTGTTGTTGTTGTTGTTGTTGTCAGAAACCTAATTTTTCCAAAATTGTAACTTTATGTAACATAGGGGCTGAGGCAGTTTGCAAGGACAAAGTTACTTTGTTAAGGGAGTTCTGATACTCATTGTTGTAGCACGCAGGGGTCAACACACAGGCAGGCAGGAAAAGACACAAATCCATATTCAAAAATAAGAAGGAGACTAGCAGGGGCTAAGCCAAACACAATAAGAACTCAAATGACAGGTCACAACACAGAGACCTCACAAACTCCCAGTGAAAACAAAGGGGTATATGTAGCAGTCTCAATATCCTTAGAATAAGCTGCAGGTGTGTGGGAGAAGTGGAGAGTGGTTTTGTCAATAACATCAATAATCACAGCAATAAAACTAAAAATAGGAAACAATCATATATAACTTTGCACACAGCAGTTCTGGTACCAAAGTGGATGTAATTTTTTATTTTTATTTTATTTTACGTATACACTCGTAAACAGATGCTGCGACTCCATGTTCCATTTAAAGATTTTTGCAAATACCTTCCTCCGTAGCAAATACGTTCCTCTGTACAATACAAAATTTAGCTCACCTACTACAGAAGAGGCTCATATACTGCATTGTTATCACTCGAGCAGCCAGTATTTTATAAAAAATAATCACTACACATTCACATCACTTTCCCATTTGAAAAAAAAGGCTACATTCATTTCACATTTTTTACTTTTCAAACTTAGAAATTTAGAGAAATCTCAGAAATGTTAACACTGAAATGTATTTAAGCTTTGGCCAGTGGGGGGAGCAGTGGACCTGATACTTAATCCTAAACTCCCCAAATGGGTTAAGAAATGCAGAATATTTTTATCAGCTCACTATCAAAACATCTGCAGGAATAAGAGAGCACTTTATGTAAATGATATGTTTATGAGGGCAAATTGGAGCAAAGCCAGTTACAACTAATATGTAAATAAGGTGCTTGGTTGTTTCCCTAGTATAGTCCAAAGTATATCTTGCTTGATTCAGGACAGTTAAATCTGCACTCATTTCTAACTTTGATGAATGAGAGTCACTGACTTTACAGCTGTACTGTCCTAACCTGATGGTCCTCTTGTTGTCTTAGAGCTCCATGTTGAAGCTCCTGAAGAAGTGACAGAGGAAGAAACAGCAGATCTGACATGTAAAACCACCTGCAGACTGACTGAACAAACATTCATCTGGTACAAAAATGGACATTCTTTAACCACAAAGACCATCAAGAACAACCAGCTCCACCTGCAGACAGTCAGCAGTGAGGATGCAGGCAGTTATAGCTGTGCTGTAAGAGGATATCAACACCTCAACTCTACTGCTCACAACCTCAGAGTCAGATGTGAGTTTAATTTTCTTTTTGCCTTCCTGAGGAGCTGATATGACTAATATTTATAAAATACTGCTGCCCTCTATGTAATCATGTCATCCATTTCTCTAGATTCTCCAAAGAGCGTCTCAGTGTCCATCAGTCCCTCTGGTGAAATAGTGGAGGGCAGTTCAGTGACTCTGACTTGCAGCAGTGATGGAAGCCCACCTGAGATGAACTACACCTGGTTTAAGGGATCAACATCAGTAGGAGAAGGAAAAACCTACAGCATTCCCAACATCAGATCTGAGGACAGTGGAGAATACACATGCCAGATTCGTAATGAACATGGAGAGAGAAACTCCACTGCTGTGCAGATTAATGTTCTATGTAAGCATAATCTTTCTTAGTTGGCTTGCTGAAACTTACACAAATTTAGAAATTTACAGTTTTCTGACTGCTGTACATCCTCAAAAGAGTGTCTCAGTGTCCATCAGTCCATCTGGTGAAATAGTGGAGGGCAGTTCGGTGAATCTGACCTGCAGCAGTGATGCAAACCCACCTGTGAAAAACTATGCCTGGTTTAAAGAAGGTGGAACCTCACCTGTAGGATCTGGATAGAATTACAGCATCATCAACATCACTGCTGTACTCACTGTAAAGCTCAGAATAAACATGGAGCTTAGACATCAGCTGCGGTGCCAGTCCCTTTTATAGAACCCATTTCATACTAAATGGTTCTTTGCATGATGAGATGGTTCTTCAGATTGATAGAAAATGTTGCTTATGTTTTTTTTAAGGAATCTTTTTGAAAAGGTTCTATATAGCACCAATGGGAAGCTTGGAACAATAGAGGAACTCTTTATGCTGCTACATAGAACCATTTTCAACAAGATTATAGTTTCTTGCTTAAATAAGGTTCTCTTTTCTAGAGAATATTATTATGCTGTTTATTCATTAAATCAGTTCTTTATTCATTCTCGAACTCATCTATTGATACATTAATACATTTGGTACATATTTTAAATGAAATGAGCCTCATAAATCAGTCTTCTGAATGTTGAGTGTGTACATCCCTCTACAGCCTACTCCGTGATGATTCTGTATGTAGCTGTTGGACTTGGACTTTGTATCATTCCAGTTTTTCTCACTGTAGTTTTGTGGAGGAGGTAAGAATAATAATGGAAAAAAGCATGAAGGTAAATAAGTTTAATTACTAGGGAAAATGTGTTACTTTGCACTCAAGTAATAAGCACTCGACATGCTGTTGTATGGTTCTATGTACCCATTTGTTTTCACACTTAACAAGGCAAATGATCATATTTGTATCATAAATGATAATGTCTATTATTTGGATTATTACAGGCTGTTTTCAGAGAGCAGGAGAAAGAGGCAGGATGGAAATATGGATCAACAAATCTATGTGGTGAGTTCTAGATATCAGGATCCTTTAATTCTGCTTTAAAATGAAAGTGTGTGTGTAATATATTAGTTCACAGTTATAGACTGAGAGCACTATCTGAGGTCCTGATTCTGACCAATGGAGGACCTGCAGTGGAGAGCTGTCTCTCATTCAGCCTATAGACACTTAGAAAAGAAGGTTCTTCAAGGGTTCTTTAGTAAAGCCAATGGCTCTTTTTAGAACCTTAAGTTATTTATAGAACCCATTTCATGCTAAATGGTTCTTTGCATGATGAAATGGTTCTTCAGATTGATAGAAAATGTTTGTTTTTTTTTAAAAAATCTTTTTTAAAATGGTTTTATATAGCACCAATGGGAAGCTTGAAACAATAGAGGAACCCTTTTTGCTGCTACATAGAACGATTTTCAAAAATATTTTATATAGAACCATACATAAAACATTCTCCATTAATCTAAAGAACCATTTCACTGTGGTGCGGCTGCAGTGGATAGCTGTCTCTTTTCATCAAAATGTAAAGTTGTTTGATGTTTATCTGTTTTTCTGCTCACGGTCTCGAACTCCCTGTCCTGCAGAATGTAGGCCAAACAGGCTGCAGCACTCCTCCTCCTAGTGACGATGACCTTAATTCTCCAGTATACGCAAATGCTACTGTGAGTTCCAGACATTAAACCTTATTAAACTCTTACAATCATTTTACGGTTTTATAGTATTGAGACACGGCATAGCAAGTAACAAAACGGGTCTCACACCATGCCCTAAAAGTAAGTGGGTTACACTTTACAATACTGTTTTGTAGTCAATAAATAACTAATCACGAACTAAACACTACATTACACTCATTAACACTCAAGTAACTACTCTTAACTATCAATGACTACTAATTAACTACTCAGTAGGTAATAGTGAACTAATGATTGGGTAGCAGAAAAGAATGATGTTTTCTTTTCTAAAGATGAGAGATGAGTAGACTGGCCTACTGAATACTGTGGTATTTTAGCAGTTGTCCCATTTGTAGGCTGATGTGCAAATTGGTTCACACTGCCAAATATGAGGATGTGTATTAGCCTTTTAAGGTTTCTGATCAAAACAAACTTATGAGGGACACCAGTCAGTACAGTGTGGTGTGATGCCCCCAGCCCTCTCTGAGGATTCCTGCTTCTGTGAATAGAAATGGAGGATATAACCCATTATATTGTAGAGACTGCACACTGTGTAGTGTATTTCACTACTGTTAGAAGTGTTGGAATACACTACATCAGTTAGTAACCTTGTCAGACTCAACTACTGAGCAATTCATGTTGAACTGATTGGTAATTTGAGTAGTTATTCTAAGAAACCATAGTTACTAAGTAATTCCCTATGAGACTCAGTAGTTATTGTTTAGTTAATAGTAAACTACCCTAATCATTAGTTCACTATTACCTACTGAGTAGTTAACTAGTAGTCCTTGGTAGTTAAGAGTTATTACTTACATGTTAATACAGCACTACTCATTTATTCCCGCTGAGTTCCTGATTAGTTACTTATTAACTACGAAACAGTATTGTAAAGTGTTTCAAAGTAAGTAACAAGACTCTGCCATTCCACCTTTGAAATGGAGGAAGGGACTCGGGGATTTCTACGACCCATTTAGTAAACAATTTTGAGAGAAACTGTCAGAGTGCTGGAAGTTAGAGTTGATAATTTATTTTGAGCCACTGATTGAAAAAAGATT